CATTTTTCTTAAGAGCTGCTTAACTTTGGGCTAATGGTCTTCTTTTATCAGCAGCAGAGCTGCTAACTCTGGAGTTACTTCAGCTTCCCATTCAGAAAGGGTAAGTGCCTGTTTTTAATTACAGGCAGGCCCATGGACGTTGCAGTGAATACAGCCACTCGCCCCCTCCCAATTCCAGGCACAAATGCTCCATTCCCCAGATTACTGCTGACTGGCCTGGGATTGGGTTTTATTGCAGACAAGCAAGCCAATTCTTTGAGGCTGAGGTTAATTCAAGCAGCCCCATGTAGAGCATTATCCTGCAAATGGTTAAATGCTTAACCATGCTGCAAAAATTAGTCAAGTGCAAAGCTACCTCTCTAAGGGTTTGTGGGACCGAAGCTGGAGCCCCCTTTTCTCCTCTAGTTTCCCCAATACTTTTCCCTAATGGAAAACCAAATGTGAAGTGGAGGAATCTATGACTTGTCCTGTTTTAATTTTAAATACAAAAGCAAGCTCAAGCTGTCTACAGATTGTGCTATCTTCTTTTATGGAATTAATTCAAACATCAGGATTCTACCAATTGGAGAAAACAGCAGATTCGTCCCAAAGTGACAAACCTCACAACATCAAAATAACTCTCAAAACCTTCAAACTAAAAAGTCTGTTCCTACTGCCTGGTCAGCAAACAGATCCTAGGAAAACCAGCGTGCATGCTAGGAAACAAATCGGTACGCTAAACGTCTGTTATCCAAACCTTCTGATCTTTCTTAGCTGCTGGTTTAGGAATACAAATTCTACCACATTAAGCAGAAAAAGGGAATAGATATTTTTATTTAAAATGGAGTAACTCAAAATGGCCATAATAACTCATTTGTGTTGCTTTTGTACTTGGGTAATGAATGACTGTAGTATAAAGTGCTCCTAGTTTTTGCCTCGAGGTCTTGTCAATCATTACCTGATAAATAAAAGCTTCAAACAGGCTCCTTTTAGCTTAATTGGGCAGAATTTCTCTCCAAAGGAAAGGCTGAATACAGAGAATAATGTTTTTGTGGCAGTAATGGAAGTCAGCAAGCAGGGTATTTGGATGGAAACACAGAGGATGCAAATTCTGAACTCAAAAGATGAGTCTTTTTAGTTTTACTTATCCAGAAAGTGTCTGTTCCCATTGCAGGCAGAGCTGGAAGGATTGAACAGAGCAGCAGAGGAAATCCCGTGGTCTGTGGCAACACTGCTGAGCTGCGCTTGTGCGAGCTCTGCTCTCCCTCTCTGGTTTAAGGCTTTACAGCTGACACTTCCATAAAAATCAGAAATCTTAAAATTACGCTAAGACTCACTTAAATCATTATCTTTTATTATATGAACGTTGGCAGCAACAGAGGCGCTTTCCTGCACAGGGACAAAAGGATCCCGTTGTCAGTACTGGAACAGATCTAAACCAGCTCAATTAAGCAAACATAACATTCTCAAAGTTTGGCCTGAAAGGAAGTTAAAGTAACTGATCTATAAAATGTTTTAAATGTGCTTTAAAATGTCATTACTCAGATAAATCTAGCCATTTTGAAGCTGGTTCACTGGAGTTTTACAGCCCTGCCAGTTTATGGCAGCATATGTACTCACATCAAGAATTCCTCTTCCAGAACAGTAGATGAGGAGACAAAGCCACAGTAGCTTTGCGGACCGAAGGGAGGCTGCAACCAGCTTGGGAATGGAGTTTTGGCTTCCAGACTGGGAAAGCTGCTACGAAACATAGCCAGCAAGTTGTGTGTGTTTGTGGCAGAACTGGAAAGCAACTGATATTTCATGATATAAGGCTGGATGTGTTGAAGTTAGTGGTAAAGCTTCTGTTGGCTGCAAGGCTGGCACTGTAAAGCAGGATGTTTTGTGGTTTTTTTTAAATTTTTCCTCCTCTTGCTGGAACCACCTCTGACTTACCCTGAGTCTAAATAGGATTGGGACCGTACTGAGAAATACCAGAGGATCCTCCTTCTAAAATTAGTCTAGGCATACAAAAGCCAAGTAGCCATCAGTTTAGGTTAATAAAGGTCTTTCCACTGATGCTTTGCTGGACTTCAGGTCAGTGCACGAAGCAAATTTACTTATCTTTCACAAGCAATTACAAATTCATGATAGCTTAACTGCAAAATGTTGATGATTTAAGGCTCTGGATCAGGACGTATATCTACATAAACTGCCACAACTCTACTCACAGTTCAAAGTAAACAAGAACCCAAAAAACTGCTGTTATGCCCTGAAGATGTAATGTTTAGTTAATACAGGGATTTAGACCATTATTTTTTTCAGCTGCCTCCATAGCAATGCAGTGTGGTATCCACAGTAGGAAACCTCATGCCAGCAGCATCTCTGAAATATGCTAAAACAATCTAAATTAGAAAATGTCAGCTTCTTGGCTGACGTTCCTTTGGAGTTTCTTTTTTCCTTTCTTGTGCCTCTATAATTTTATTGGGATGACTAAATCTCTGAACTATGTTAGCAGTAAACAGAACTAATTTACCCCCTGCTTCTTTGAAACAGCTGCTGACAGCTGCACTATAATTCAATCACGGATCTTTGCAGTGCAATCTGCAAAACATATTCATATTTTTTTGTATTCTTCCCTCTCTGTTGTATTTGGACTGAAGGAGCCACACCAAATAGCGACATGTGCCCATTTTGCCCATACATAGAGACTGATCTACATGAAAACAGAGGCTCAAGATGAAATATCACCCAGCCAAAAAGGTTCTTTGAATATGGGGAGAATAACCACACAGATACACAACGTTGTTGCGATATCTTTTGTAAAGTTTCAATGATTTATTTTACTAGTTTGTACAAAAGGCTTCTGACAACTGCTCTATGAAAAGAACCAGAAACATGGATGCATTTTTGCCAACTGTTAATAAATATCTTCTTAAATAAGGAAACAAATGTGTTTAGGAACTGAGAATCATTTTTCCTGGATGTGATCGAAAAGGAATTCGGAGATGGAAATAAATAATTCTTATTCTGCTTGTGACAACTATTTACATAAAAAATGTACAAACAGTGAAGCTGATGTTGAGCCTAGCAACAGAGATCCTGTTATGTTTTTTTTTAAAAAATCCAACCAACAAACAAAACAGAAACAATCCCCACATAATATTTAATATATGAATTCTACACAGCAAGATACTGTGGTCCAAGTTAAAAATGCAATACACCAATGCAGTGACCACCAACACTGAAACACCCGCAAGAAAAACTAATCCTTGACTACTAAATAGTGAAAGTTTAGGCATGATTAGCTTTTAACTTTCTAGGCAGCACCTTAACTTCTTTTTAGGAGGAGAAGGACTAGTGTATATACGTATACAAAGTCAAAAGACACTTCCAATCTGTGTGAGCTCAATAACTCACTCTGTAAGAGATGTGCTGAGGGCAGTTTTGGCTGTTTGTCGTAGATGGTCGTGGCTGCAGGCTCCAGGGAGAGATGGTCTTTTGGCTTCAGCTGTTGTCCTGCTGTTTGGCTCTCTAACTATTTGGTCAAAGCCTCACCTTGGGGCAGTTAGGAAGTTTGCTGGAGTCATGCTTCTGAAGTGTGCGTGCCATGGCCAGGCTGGTCCTGCAGATGTTTGAGTCACCCAGGTTGGAAGCTGGACGCATCTGGCAACGTGGCAACTGCTCACCAAGGGCCTGGTCCAAAACCTACTGATGTCATGGAGAGACTTCCACTTTCCCATGAGCCTAATCCTGCTAGTGGGAAAACACCAATTGACTTAAACGAGATTAGAGTTAGACCATCAGAAACAAGTTTCCAATTTATTTCATAGACAGTAATTTTTTTCTTCCTTTGCTTATTCTTTTTAAAGCGAGGCATCTGGTCTGGATTTGATCTGTGACTTAAAGGAAGAAGAGCAGTGACTGATTTCCAGAATCGGGCGGTTGTGCTCATTTATCTTCTTTCTCTGACTCTCCTCTAAGGCAAGACATGGAGCCAAGTTCCCACTGCGGCTGCATCGCCCTGTCCGCTCACTGTGCAGACAGACCCATCTCCAGGGATTTGTTGTGTTCTGGACCCATCTCTTGGAGGTTTAGGTTTTTGAAGTTTGGAGATTTAGAGCTGGGTGTGCTGAGGACCTGGTGTTTTATTGGACAGAATTTTCTTTTTTTATCTCCCTGGTGAAATTTATGCCAATCCTACTTTTGTAATCACAACGTATGCCAAAGTGTTGAATCAGTTTGTGATTGGTTGCTGCTACTTTGTATTCTTATTCACAACAACTTTAATTGAGTTTTAATTACATAAGTGTGATGTTTGTGTAACCTGTGACTTTAAAAGAAGGAAAAGGAAAAGCCTTGAGGGGATGTTTTCTTGCTCCTGGTTCCAGCTTGTTGGTGTGGCTCCTGAAAGGGATTTTATTTTTATTTAAAGGTGAAGCCAGTAATAAAGCAGGGGTTTTATCCCTGGGAAGTAAGGTTTCCTAGCTTGTTTCTAGCTGAGTCTGTGTGGTGCTGGCTGTACATCCCAGCTCACGGCACCTTCTGCGCTTGAGCCTCCATGTTTTCACAAAAGCATTGGAACTTGTTCTGTCAGTGAAGTCAATGGATGTTTTCCAAACAGAAGCAGGATCTTTAGCTGGCTTTCACAACTCCTAACTGCTTAGGACACCCCAGCTAAAAGTTAGGTTTAATTCTTGTTTCTTAACATTCTGCTGCTTTCCTGTTTCTAGCTCATAGCAATTTCAAATTCTTTCCTGTTGCTAGAGGAAATTTCTTCCCCTGTTGACAAAAAAAGTATACCCAAAAAGTCTTGCTCTTTGGAATTATTTTCTTCAGTTCTTTTGCTTGCCAATTAGAAAATTCTTTTCTTCCCCTTAGACTAATCTGTCCTTTGAACTTGCATCAATCCAGACATAGCTTTGGCTACTATAGTTTAAAACTGGAAGTTGCATGTAATTGATCGTTGCTTATGAAATTGAAGCAAACAGAGGGATGGAGGTAATAATTCTCTAACAAAATACCTGTTCACTCCAGGTATATTTTGTTCACTTATTTTATTGCAAACTGTATTACAGGAACTACACATGCTTATTAGTCACAGCACATTCTCACCTTGGGTAGATTATTATTTTCTAACTCACAATCAACACCAGTGAGTTTGCAATCCTCAGAAAGACTCATTTCCAAAAGTATTTATTGTTGGAGCCAATTTTGTAGGCAGATTTGGTTTTAAATGGTTTCTCTGGCTTGTTTCAGTTTACAAGCTCATTGTCTGTAATAAACGAAAACAAAATGTGTTCAAATGCCACTTAGATCCAGAAACTGTTCCATTGTCTGAACTTTCAGAAGCCCCATCCTAAGAACTGTTTGGGATTTTTTTTAAACCCGTTGCTGGAGTGCTAACCTTTTCCCCTCCCCCACAGAGCCGTACAAAACCACTCTTTACAAATAACCTTTTTTTTTTTCTTTCCTACCAGTCTAATGACAGCCACATGCTCGTACCACCATGTTCCTGTATTTTTTTAAGATAACATTGGAGCTGTCATCAAAATAGAGCACTGAGATGGCATTGAGTTGTGTAGGAGCACAGCAGGGTTTCGGCACAGTCTCTGGGTTTATAAAGTGAACCTGGGGAATGAAAGTAGATGTGTGTTAAGTTTTACATTTCCCCCTTTCCTCTCCCATATTTTTCTTTCCCAGGCAACCCTCTGTCTGTCCATACACTCACTCAGACATGTTTCAAGCACCTGGCTTTGTGTACAAATGTCTCGAGATGTCCCCTGCGTGTACGGGGGCTGACGCACGCACCTAAGTCAGATCTAGCTGGAAATCTTTCAGTGAAGTAGGTTTCCATTAGAAAATTCCCATTTGTCAAAGCAGTCAGCATTCTGCAGAAGTGTACCAGTTAGGATAAACTCTATGGGAGGCGCAGGTGAGGTTTTGTGAGAAATCCCAGCAGCCCTGGGTGGGGGATCCTGTTCCTGCAGCCGCAGCACCGAGACCCATCTGGGGCCAAGGGCTGCAGGTCCCCTGTGTTCCCTGCTGCGGGACCTCCGAGGAGAGGGAGGAAAAAGCAAATAAAAAGCAATCTATTAGGAGAAAAACACACAGATCTTTCTTCCACTGGAAACACAGATGCTTCTAGTTTCCCTAATACTTTTCGCAATGTTTTTCTTAGATGCACACAGGACATGGGATGTAGAGAAAAGGTGGAGTGAGCCTCCTCGTGCCACGCAGGTGTGTGCAGGGGGCCTGGGCTGTTATCACTGGACCCAAGGTGGGGAGGGAGTCCAGGCAGGTCAGCTGGGGATGCTGCACAGACAGGGTACTGGGGACCAGCGTGTCTTCTGGCCCATGCCAAGAGCTGTGATGGTGTGATGCCTTTGGCGACACAGCTGGGGCTGGGTGGCCCCCAGCCAACAGTCCCCCTGAGCACAGACGCTGTGTCATGAGGACACGCCAGCTTGGGGCTCCCATCTGGACCTCTTTACACAATTTATAACACAAATACACCCATAAAGCAGCTGAGCTGTGTAATTTTGAGATTCCCTGACCCATTCCTCAGTCTGCCCCCAATTCCACTTTTGGCAGCAGCCTACAGTGGATCCTTACAGAGTGTTTCCAAGAGATGCTGATAGTGGGTCTCACATCCTGCTCTGTCCTTCCCATGCCGTGGGACTATGCCACCATTAAGATGTCTGTCATAGGGCCCTTTGAAACTCGAGAGAGCATGTCAATGCTTGCAGCAAAGACAGGGTAATTCCTAGCCAACTATTAATTCAGGCCACTTGGCTAGACATGTTTAGCCAGATGCTGCAGGCATCTTAATGAGCTAATGCAGACCTTCCTTCTCTTGTTAGCTTAGAGACTTTTTTGTGTATAAACTTATTTCTGAGCAGCACCTATCAGAAATAACTCCGTGTTAGGAGCTGCAGTGCACCTACCAGTGTCTGTACAATGGCATGATTTGTAGCATTCATGTATGAATTCAACGGGAAAGCACATTCTCCTTCACAGTAGTACGCAGCATAGCCCTCCGGAGCGATGATCCAGTCCTTAATTAAATTGAAGATGTTAGAATGTGGAGAAAGAGAGAAATATGGTGCAGTGAAATAAAAAGTGGAACAGCACATAAATCTAACAATTCATATGTCTACATACAGCTACAGTAGCCTGCAAAATAGCAGTCTGGTGCTCTGGCCTTTCTAATGCTATCTTGTACACCTCTAAAGCGGCTGCTGTTGCTGCAGGGACCTATTTTGCAAACATGCCCGTAACGTAGCTGGGTTTAGTTGTTTCTCCATTCAGCAGCGTCCTCCTGGCTGTCCACAAAGATCACTTCACCCATCGCTGAAATGCAGGTACAAACTTTCAGAAACAAAAGCGTCTCTAACTAGGTCTGAAAGAATTGATAGATGAAAATGGAGAGCTGTATGTGTGTTTGGTACTGCCAGAAGAAATTTGGGGGCCACAGTTTCTCAAGCGTATTGAGTTTCTAGCCAGTCTCACACTAAATATTTGTATACACAACTTTACAGAACCATTTCTTAAGCATGCTAAAAGCTATATACAATTTTTTCTCCCTAGGGATTAAAAAAAAAAATCCAGTTATTGGCTTGTTCTCACCATTGCAGCTCAATAAGTGATGTGGAAAGGCATCGCAGCTCACACCCTGGTCCTGCACAGCCCTTACCTGCCACCCCAGGTCCCTGAAGCTGACGTAGAGCTCGTGCTTCTTGCAGGCTTGTCGCTGGTCGCTGCTGCTGTTCTCTGCACGGAGGGGAAAGGAGATCCTAAAGGCTGGGCTGCCCCAGGCCCACAGCCCTCAGCAATGCCCCAACAGGGAGTGAGGCATCACTGCTCATTGTTGCAAACGTTTTCGGGTTTAGTGATGAAATAATGGCTGGGTTCAATACACATGAAACGCGCCTCTGGCTTTTTGTGCAAAGGCAAAAAAAGGCCTGGGAAAACAGTGTGGTTTTTTTTTTTCTGGGCTTCCTCTGACCTCATATTAGCAAAAAGCAGATCTCTTTGTTTATAAAATGAGAACCTGTGAAAGGGGTGATAGGGAAAGGCACTGTTTACATGTTTTCTGAATTTCTAACTGTCTTTGAGTCACCTGCATTACTGGTGATATTTGCACCTTCAGGCCTACAAAGGCAACGTACGACACTAAGGCCACGTGAAATCCGTTCTTCCGTCCAGTGCAGCTGAATCCAGATTACAGACTTCTCACAATGAGTGACAATGCTGAAGCCAAAGAATAAAGCGTGGGTCTGAACAACCATGACTATCAGTGCAGTTTAAGTTGTGTCTATCCTGGACATACAGCCTGAGCTGGAGACCCAAGGAAAAGTACCAGTAAATATTTTTTTCAACCCTTGTTGTTGGAAACTAACTCAACATGGGGTTCTCGAGCTGGAGGCAGGGCACTGGTTACAGGGACTTTTCTAACCTACTCGCAGAAGTAAGACATTTTTTTGTTCACTACCTATCCTTTCAAATTGAACCGATATAGCAAATAGATGATAAAAATGCACACTTAAACTGCAGACCATCTACACTTGGGGAACTGCAAAACCCAGAGCTCAGAAACATAAGCCATAGAAAACCATTTGAACAGAGTCTAGAATTTTGGATGAGAGGTACAGAAATACATCTATGTGGGCAGATCAGAGAAGCTGCACCTATCATCAGGGCTGCAGAAAAGCATCATTAGTTCCAGGACAGGAATGACCTGATTAAACATTGGGAAGCTGCAACAAGACTGATGGAGTAGAGTTCTCCCATGGCCTTGCAGGTAACCCCAAGCAACCCAAGGTGGAGGTGAGTCACGCAAGACGATGTTGTGCCCTGCATTGTCCTCTTCCACCTCTTGCAAGCTCTCCTTCCATTCAGTGAAGCACTTGCAGAAATAGAGCTGGAATTTGCCACTGCCCTCAGCGGAGCTGGCCCTGTGCTGCAGTTCCTGCTGGGAAGGTCACCAAGGGCCCGTTATTCTGAGGTATCTCATAATTAAGCCACGTTTCAAATGCCTGTCGGAGTTTTCTTCCATATTCGGAAGCACAGCTACCCCCAGAATAGCTGCAGTTATCCTGAGGAATGAATGGGTTTTCCTCTTGTGTGCAAAACTTTTGGGAGTATTAAACTTTTGGAGGGCTAAACTTAAAATCACAAACTCTGAAACTTAATCTACAGCATTTTGATTAGAGCTACTGAAATATGTTACTGTTTTGATCACTTACTATTTGGTTTCATGTCATTATCTTACATTTCAAAATGAGAATTTATTTCATATGGGAGAAAAGGAGATTTTCTGTTTAGATGGCTTTTATTTTTTAAATTGGGTTAAGAAATCCCTCAGTTTCACACTGTTTCAAAGGAACGCTATTTTTCTAACTTTTTGGGAACAATTCTTACTTCCAAGTAGTTTCAAACCAGTAAGAGAACACTGGTGGTAGACTTAAGAGACAACAAACAGGCTCGTATGGGAGAAACTGTTCCCATCCAGTGTCAAGTCCAGCAGAGCGTTTTCCCACACCCAGAAACACGGACCCGGCGACCCGCGCTGTACCTGCGATGTTGGACACGCGGAAGGCTTCCTGGTTCTTTGGCGTTTTTGATCGATTCTGGCTCCTTTGCTTCCCTCCCGTGGAGCGAATGCTGCGGAGATGGACCTCGGTGGCTTTGAAGAAGGCTACCGTGAACGGCTGCTTGTTCTGTGGGCCATGCCTTCCGATGAGACCCGCCAGTTTGGGATTGATGCTTTGCCCTTCCGAACAGAACGGACTGATAAGAGGGCCTGCAGTAACTGTTCATTTTCAGCAGACACAGTAGGGATAACAGGAGAGCTGCTGGCTGGCTGGCAAGGGTGGTTCCTAGGCATGTCTGTACGCATCCATCCACCAAGGGCCTGGACTTAATGGCAAAGCTGCTTCTGACAAGAGCAGCTCAGCACAGCTAACTTCATTTTATATCTGCGTGTAAAAGTTACATAAAATAGTCCTACATATAATTATTTTACCCTAAATCCGCTTAGCATTAACTTTTCCTGCATTCTTTAGAGGGGTTTCTTTAAGTTCACCAACCTATAATTTGAAGTGATCCTATAAAAGGAACCATAAAACTCAGCCCATAGGAACACTAAATTCCCACTGGAAGGTTATTAACTTAAAATAAAAATGCCTTTATGAAATGTTGACCGAGTTCCAGATATACTGTAGCTGAGAGAAACAAATAGTTCAGATATTTAGAGATATTTTGCTTATTGCTGTATCTCAGCACTATCATACCTGATAACTTTATTGCAAAACTGTTGATTACCGTGCGTGCTTCCTTCATCCTGGGCTTTCAAAATAATTCGATTTTTGGTAAAAGATAATTAGGTGGTTTCTCTGTAGAATTAAATCAATTATTTACAAAAGACACAAGGAGAGGGTGGCAGTGGGAAATGTAACGTTTGTCCCTGTTGCCTCCAAAGGGTGTCTGGGTGTTGCTGTGAAATGCAGATATCCAGAATTATTCTGTTCCAAGCTACCGAGTACTGCTGCTAAGTCAAAGTTATGTTAATGGCTTTTGTGATCCTTTTGCTAAGGGCAGAGCTGGGCCTTGTCAGCAACAAAGCAAGTATGCCAAAAGACAGCTGACACTTTCCTAGAGAAGCTCTGAACGGCAGCCTGGCTGGGGAGAGCAGGCGAGGGGCTCTACAGTCGACTGACAAAAGTTTTCTTATCTTGCTAGTTTCTTACTACCGTGTGAAAAGCAGCTGGTAACCTGAAGTATTTCTAGGCAATATTCTATAACTGCTGTTTTTAAGATGAGTAAAGTAAATGCCAAGACTTATAAATTATTGGCTTTAAGGGATTGTTTCCATCTCAGCTCTTGCATGTGGCCAAAAGATGGGTAAATGTGCCAGACCCAGAAAAAGGGGGCCGTGGTCAAAGCTCGAGGCCAAGAAACGGACCAGGCTCAGCTGGAGCCCACTCTCTGTTCTTCCATAAGCGTGCAGCCCAGTGAGCAGGTTCCGAGCTGCAGAACACGGGATTTGTGGAGATGACTGGCTTAAGAGATGTTTTAATGGGAGCTTGGCAGCAGGAAGGCTGCCTGGCATGGCCAGGCTTTGCAAACTAGATAAAGGGAAACTAATCTTAGACAGGGCACCAGGAAAGCTCAGGCAAAAATAGCAAATGCAAAAACTCATGTATGTAGATTTATATGTGGACACACATCAACTACTTCTTCACCTTCTGCTTAAGCTCCTTTCCAGAAACTTGTCCAAACAGTTTTCATTTGAAACGTTTGAGGCTGAGCCCACAAAGTGCTTAAGCAAGTAGCTAATGCTAAATATATAAGTAGTTCCACTTGTGCTCAGGCTTTGCCAGACCGAAGCCTTATTTCCTGAAAACAAGCTCAGCTGCAGGAGTCAGAGCTCACTGAATACTGCTCTATGGCTTTCCCTGCCCCTTCAAAGAAGCCTTTCTGCTTTCCAAAGCTGTTTAAACTACCAAGTACCTCTATGGCTGTGGTTTGTCCAGTGTAAATTACTTTATCTTTACCATGTCTCGAGAGTAGGTCAGCGGTACGCAGGGAGGGGACCCAGCTTCACACTGGTGTGTTTAATGGATTTGCAGTAGCGCAGCAATAAGTAGCATCTGACGAACGACCGCCTCGTTAGCACCAGCATGTCCTGTTCGAGACTGTTACGGTGGCAATGTTTCTTTGGGAGTGGGGGGGAAGGTGTGTAATGCTCTGTAGGCAAAGTAGCATATTTCTTTTTCATGAAGATGGGGAAAATCCACTTTCTAGCTTTCCTATACATTCAGAAAGCAAGGTTAAACACAAGGCCACATTGCGCAGTCCCCAGCAGACAATGATAAACTTCCCTCAAAAGAACTAAAGCTGTGCTCTTGAACCAGCGGGCACGGCTTTATCTGCTTTTATGACGCTGCCTTTTTAATACTGTCAAAAACGGGATCTTAAGTAATGAGCTAGGTAAGCCCAAGTGGGCAGCTGCTGTTCCCACGTGCTGCTGCTGAGCAAGGCGTAGCGGGTGCTGGGCTGAACGCTCGCTGAAGGCTACTGACTCACTCGAACCTTTCTTTTGCTCACTGCTTGGGCTGATCCTCATTTTCTAAGAGTTAACAAATACCCTTTGATTCCACCCTAGTTATACACATCGATAGACTTATTTGGCAAGATTATAAAGAAATACAAAGATCAGTTTAATGAATTTCTTTTGTATGATTTCATCTGGACAGTGCTCGTGATGTCAGACTTTTTTTTTTTAGAGAGAGAGTATTGGCTTGACAGTTAGAGATCTCTAAATGTAATGACAAATACAAAGAAATTTTTTTTTTTTTAATTCACTTAAAGCTTTGGGGGTTGCCCAAGCATATAGTGTTGCATCAAAATCCTGCTGTGTTTGCAGCATATGATTTTCATATGAAGACCAGGTGTAAAAGCAGCTTTCTTGTTAGCACACACAGTTGGTCTAAATCCAAAATGAAACTTGGGGAGCAAGGAAGGACATGTCCTCGCCATTCAAAATAGAAAGAAAAATTCACATGTATGGTGCAGAAATGTGAGTGCAAAGGTGTGCTGCCAGGGGACTTGGTTACAGAAGCCAAGCAGACAATCCGCTCCTGTATCTCTGTATTTACTTTTCCAACAGTGCAGATGGCTTTTCTAACTTTAATGACAGGCTGATTAAAGTGTTTTGTTAATCTATTTTGAGAAACCAGCAAATAATTTTGTGTATGATTTCAACCCTTTACAAACTCAGCTAGGCTTTTCAGGAGTGTAAAAAGAAACCAGATTCCTAATTTTCATTGAGTTGAATAACAGATGAGAATGCACTTATCACTGAACCTGGGAATTTCAGTCTTTGAAAGCTCGTTCTCATAGATCTGGCTGTGTACTTTCAAGGGTCCACTCCTGATTGCTCCAGTAGAGCAGAGTTACTGTAAGCGTGTGCAAAGTTGCAGCATTTCCTCGGATGCAGAATCCTGAAAAGTCTCCATTGAGATCGGTAACATGTTCACAAATCAGCTTCCTTCCTCCTTAATGCTGAAAAAAGGGATTGACTTTTGCTGTAAAATCACTAGGTGAGGATGGAGGAAGACAGAGCAATAAGACAACTTTATCAGTAGAAGAGTGTGGGTGTGATACTGTAGCATCCATGGTGCTTAGAGATATTAAGCCTACTTCCAGCTATCGCTTTTCTGTGGACTCTGGGCTGGGTCTCCATGGTTTTTCTATATGTGAACCACAACTGAATGAATGTGCCATGATTGTGGACACAGCTTCTTTCCTTCCAAGTATTTCCTTTATGAGGCAAACTGTAAACTAAAAACAACAACAGTGTTTGAAAATGGGTTAAGCTTGTCTGGGCTGTTGATTTGCCTTACTGTTTTAGCTTTAAAAGTTAAGATTAACTTGTAAATCAGGTTGAATTTGGATTTTTATACAAAGATGGCAAAAGTACTCTGTCATTGAGGGTGGGGATTAGTAACTTCCATGGTGAAGCTCCTGCTTTGTATCTGTGTTTGGGTTTCTGAATTCACTGATCACTCAGAAAGGGCAGGTTAAAACAAACCCTGTGCACCTCCGTGCGCGCAGATCTCACATAAGTAAAATCACTCTTTCAGGCAACTGACTCTCTGTAGGTTGCCTGTTCCAAAACTGCTTTGCACAGTCTTTATGCAAAATACTACTTACTGGAAATGTTCAGCGTGATGAATAAAAAACAATAGCAAGTGATATCATAGATGCATATCTGGAGAATGAAAGTATGTCCTTACATAACTACATTCAGAGCATTTCTAATAGTCTTGAGCTGAATTTTGCTTAACCTCTCCTGTGGGGCAGCCAGGCAGTTCCAGATGGTACCAGGAACGCCCCAGAAGATCCAGGAAACTTTGGTTTCCTTACACAAGTCTCCAAGTGAACATTAGGAATCTTAACTTTAAGACAAAGCAACACAACTTTTTAGTTAAGATCTGGTTAAGGAAAATTCCCTGTCTGATTCTAAGCATGTCCTTTCTGGAGATGTTTCAGAGCCAGGTCTTCCTACTCGTTCCCAAACCTCACAGGTTTGCACCCTAAGTATGCTGCAGACCTTGGAGTCCAGACCAGGCACGACTTTACTCGTTGTTTCTACTGCCACAAAGGAAATTAAAATGCTTCCTAGCTGTTATCTGAATTTGAAAGGACTTTTGTGCCAATTAACATCAGCCTTCTACATCCTTCACTTGTGTCTTTTCGCACATAACATAGTTCCTTCCTCTCTCCTTGACCGGGCTGCACTACCTGCATATCAGCCAGCAGCATATACATACGTTGACAGGGATGGTACAGAGCCAATACTGAAATGACTGCAGACAGGTTACCGATCTGTTAAAGCATTTTGGTACATCCTTAATGTGAAATATGTCCATAGATTCTTCTTTTCTTATTATTATTTGCATCTTAAGCAAATTCAGGAAAAACATGCTAAAGAAATCCTATTCAAACGAAAAAGTACTGAAAGCTTAAGGCTTTCCCTGGCTGGGAATTGTATACCAGAAACAGAGACTCATTGGTTGATGCTCACAGATGTTCATGTTCACATGATGTTCATGTTGGTGTCTGACACTCACCATCAATGCCTTCCACGGAGAGCTGCAGGCCAAGATTGTGTTGAGGATTCACCACCCAGTGATTACTGGTTGCAGTAATGTCAAACACCAGCCACCCTTCTTCTGCGGCCCAGATTGTTCGAGAGTCGAGCAGGAACAAATCTGAATCCCTGAAACAAAGAAGCATAATTCCCAGTTACTGGCCTTTCCACTGGAGTATCTATAGACATTCATATACATGCTTTAAGCAACACACTTGGTCGGCCTTTCAGCAACAGGCAGCTCATGCCAGCGCTGGGCTGGCATCCTTTCCCATCTAATCACCTTCAGATGAAGTGCTTTTCTTCTCTTTAAAATAGGGAGGATGGGTTGAAGCGGAGTTGAGGAGGTTTTGGGTTACTTTGCTGTTACGGTTAACCTTAGAGCTGCTGATGCAACTTCAGAAAAAACACTTGCCAAGCACAGGTTTGCAAAATTACTGTTTGCATATGCAGACTTGGTAATTGGACAGACAATGCTGCTCATTATCCTTTCCACACATCATTTTCTGACTTTTATGCATAATTGTAGCATTGGTGCAAGCCAGCTGGAACACTGGTGTGCATACATTAACATATGTAATGGTTTTTCAAAATTTGTTCATCTGAGGTTACAGATAATTGATTGAGGCAATAACCCTCTGCACAGTCACAGGTCTGCGTTACTTCAGGTGGCAATTTTCTTTCAATTCATTGCTTGCATTTTTTAAAGGCCACTGCTGGGTAATTCTGGTTGAAGAACTAATACCAGAAAATGAGAGAGATCAGAAATAGAGAGGATTTAATGCATTTGAAAAAGGTGAAATTGTTCTGGATTTACAAAACGCTTCTTGGCAGATTTATGTAAAATGAAAATTTGAGAAAATGCAGATTCTGTAGAGGAAGGAATCTTCTCTTATCAGAAATTAAGAAAGAGATAAAACTTGAATGAAAAAATTGGGTAGTGGCGCAGCTCCTTTATAAAAAAACTGCTTTACAAGAAGAACAAAGAAACACAGTGGAAGTGTCTAGACAAGCCCCATAAGAGTTGCTTTTGTACTTACAGTGCACAAGCACGATAACTTGTTTAAGTGTAATTATACCCTTTTGAATGAAGAAATATCCTTGGAAAATCCTTTTCCCGTGTCCTCAAAGCTTAAAGAAGGCCTTATTAGTTTTGTCACTATTGATTTCTCAGTGCACATAAATATATATAACTTATTTTACACAGTACCTCTCGTTTGCATGAAATATCAAGTGATCACAAATGAATCTGAGAAGTGCTCAGACATACAGGCTTTTGTCTTGTAGCTTTTAGTGATTCTTTTCCCTGAGATACCAACAAATTAGAGGCTTTTGTCCCATGCAGCTGATTTAGAACAGAAATGGAGTTTTACTGCAATGCTTTTACTCTCCAGCTTGCCTTTCAACCTTTGTGGGCCGGGACATATAAGAGACGATGGCTTTCCTCCGCGAGCGAATGCATGTCACTGCCTCTGGCTCTGTGCTGGCTTACACGAAATTAAACTTCTGAAATCAGTTCCTGCAGAGCACGCGAGCGCATCGCCCAGCGTGTGTAAAAGGAGGATTCTGTTGTTTCCTCACCGATGCAGGATGTCGTTAACCCTTGGATACGACACAGCAGCAGTGCTGCCGAGGGTGCAGATGGTGCTGCACATGGCAGCCTGAGGGAAAGCAGTGGCTTTCTGGTCAGCTCAGTTCGGAACGAGAAGGCAAGGTGTGACGCTTGCAAGAGATGTTTTGCAGGCAACTCCTCTCTTGGCCCACCACGTCCCTGCCAAGGAGGAAGGCACAGGAGAGGGAGTTTTGCTTTCTTTTAAACATGGTTTTGGGTCGTGGAAGAAGCCCTACATCAGAAATGAACTCACTGCGCTTTCTTGCTAATGCATTGAGAGTCCTATGGGGGAGTGTTCTGGTGATGTCTGGGCAGCCAAAGCGAGTGGCTTTGGGAGGGGGGCCATGGTGCAGCGATCGAAAGCCTCAACCCAGGTGTCGGGAGCTGCTCCCTGAAGCTCAGTCGGCTTTGCTGGGTGCACCTAGGACAGCTGAAGATAAACAGTCCGGATAACCCCCTCCCTCCACAGACATATTAGTTACAGGAATATAAGATGCTTGAACTCTAACTGGGGGATGAATTTCCTGGGGTTTCATCCCCACCCAGAAGCAATGGCCCTGTTCCCACTGCGCATGACGCAGCCGCATGGACACCTCCCGCCCTTCCCTGTTTACAACATGCACAACAAAATGCATCCCAGAGGAGCTGGAGTTGAGGGAGTAGTACGGATTGGTCCGTTCCAATGGCTGAGTCCAAGTTTCCAGGAGTAAAGGGTTTTTATATTCACATACTGCATCATTTAAGCATGGCCCCTGACTGGAACTCATGATTCACACAAGGTTTAGTTAATAAGGACTTGGCTTCCTTGGGTTTTCTCCCTTGTAGTTTGCAGGTTGAAGATAATAGCAATAATGATAACTTTTTTGTTTTTAGCTACTGCTCAACTGCAGTATTATTACTCAGAAAAACCAGCCTTTAAGCTTCCCATGCTGACATGATGCAATTTGGGTAACCAGACAACATGAGGCATCTACCAGGGTGAGTCAGTCTGGGAAATTGTATAATGCGTTTTGTTGTCCTGTAGTTACAGCAATGTGCAAACAATAGGCCTGGAGGGGAAGCCCGAAGTGAGAGAGATCAAAAGGACCCACAACAGGGAAATGTCCTGCCCACACACGCTTGGAACATTTGGACCCAAAAAGGTTCCGTGTCAGATGCTCCAGAGAAGTTCAAGCACTTCTGGATTAGCACTTTCCACTGGCCCACCAGCACTGGCCGGGATTGGGATGCAAACCTGACTGGTGTTGCAAGCAGAGGCTCCTGAGATTGTGGTGCCTGTTCCAATGAAAAGTAACATCTTGTTCTTTTTAAAAGAACAACCTCCCTTCAAGTGAAATGCCCTGCTCTCCAAAGACTTATGGCAAACAGCATTAAATCACTACCTAATAGACAGCAAGCCCTTTAGACATCGTTGTTGGACAAGACATAATAAACACGGCAAAGGCATGTTATTCTGCTTAGACTTAAACAAAATTTGCTCTGAGGGCTCCCATCTAATGAGTTATCATGCAGGAGAATGCTAGTTAAGCCTAACTAATGTGGCTGGTTTGGGTTTTAGGTTTGAGATAAAGATCTAAGCACAAAGGAAAAAGGTTTCTAGTGTACATCTCACCCTCTGGTACCTTACCTACCCGCTGTATGCATATTTAGAGTATTCTTGGAGCAGGTGAATAATGGCTCTGCAACCAGGAGGCAGAAAAGCACCTTTGGTTCCTTGGCCCTGCATTCAATCCCTTCATTTGCAAACTTCGGAGCATGTGAGAAACTGTACTGAACCTCCTACAAGACTAAGAGATAGGAAAAGGCACGTGATCCTCATCTTACAGAAAATTAAGCTGGGACACAGTAATGTTCATGTCTAGATTAGAGTTAAATAAATGATGAAGTCTGGATCCAGACCACAAGTATGTTTTGTTGAGACCACATCAAAACGGCTCAGCATTCAAAGTATGTACATCAGCGGGAGTGTCAAAGCTTTTAGCAATGATAAAACTCAGGGCTTTCAGCAAAATTTTCTCAAGCATTGGGCTGTTGATGGAACCTAAGATGAGGACAGGAGGTTGGCACTTGTCTACTGATTGCTTTGGTAGTGTCTGGTACTCGATGCCAGAAAGCAGAGGGACCTCCTCTTAGAAACACCCCCAAAAATTTGTCTACAGGTCATATAACTGCTGTGTGGTCTATGAAATTTCCTTAGTAAACTTGGTATTTTCTGGAATTAAGGGTGAATAACAAGTATTGCAAAGTGAGGGTGGCTGGGGAGGATGCATGTGAGATCGTGTCTGGAAAGCAGCTGCAGTTACGGAGGTGGAAAGGCTGAAGCTGCCAAAGGGCTGTGGAGGGCTGGAGGCATGAGTGGGGTAGGAAAGGGAATCACAGGTAAGTAGTGGAAGAGAAATGGACTGGAAGAAGAAATAAGAGGAGACAAAATACAGGACAGGCAAGTAAGAGTATCCTGAAAGCAAACAGTGAGGAAGAGAATTGCCACGTTGCAGCACAGTAATTCTAAGAAAATGGATTAACAACCATGAAGCTTCCTGAAAAGGCTCTTTGCCTTTTGCTGGCATATTTTTTCAGCCTCTAGGATGCACTTTGGTTTGTAGCCATAAATTTTAGAAGCGTATCTCAAAATCAGAAGTGCACCATCTCTCCTAATCACCTGCCTTGATGAGCTGGGGGATGAGGAAGAACATGGACAAGAAAGAGAGATTCAGTAAAAAGATGAGAGCTGGCGATTCTGCAATAGCAAGAAGAACGGGAGACAAAACTCTGCAGCTGTACCCTACAATGCTGTATGGTCGATACTGCTCTAGGGTGGCCCTCTCATCAAACAGCACCTGCTCTTGGGTCTGCTTTCTTCACGCACTTTCCCCATCCCCCTCGTCAGCTCTGTTACTTCAAGCTGCTGGTTGACAAGTGGTAGCAAACACTAAGGAGAACTTACAAATGGGATAGAAATAAATGGGAAGAAGGACAGGCAGGCAGAACAGAAGGTGACTCTCAGCAACATTCATTGCAAGATGCGCTGCTTTCTGTGAGGTGCTGGCACTCCGCGGCGCGGGCAGCTCGGAGCCCTGGCTCACCCGGCCGTGCCCGGGCAGCAGCCAGCCCCGGCCACTGCCAGCAGGTCCTGCCATCCCCTGCCTGCATGCAGGTGAACCTGACAGCCCAAGGAGCACACTGAGGCTGCCCGGCAGCAGCACCGCTCTAATCCCTATCTGCTGGTTTGAGGAATTACAGATCTAGCAGTGTTTTAAACAGTAACCATACTGTGACACAGTACAACAGGCTTCGGATCGCTTTACAAATATGGGTCAACCCTTCCGCTTCCATTTTAAAGTGGGAAACACTTGAGGCACAGCTATGTTCAATGTCTTATTGACGTGGCATGTAAACCACAGCCCCTAAGCCAGGAGCACAACCCTGTCCTCTTGACTGGTGTTCTAACCCTACCAGGGTCACACGCATGGCGCGAGGCAGCAAGTTCGCTAACAGGCAGGCCAGGGACAGAGCTGGC